AATATATAACATTAAATTAATTATTAATTTAGAAAAATCCAGATAAACTCGCGGTATGCTGTTAGTGTAATCTTTCTTTAAGTGAGAGCCTGGCCCCACTGGAAGATTAAGCACAGTTGAAATTATTGAACACAGTTGACAATATTTATTGTTTTGTTAAATTTTTTATTTTGGTTTTATTTCCCAATAGTTGAGAATTTTGATCGGAATCCTTCCCATGTGTAAAACACAATGATGATCTTATTGGTCTTATCATTTGATTGCTTTGGACTTCCTTCAGATGAGATTTTTTGCTGCCATTTGACAATAGATATAAATATTAGGCTTGGTTTAGCCTGGAAACAATATTTTGTGAATAACATCATATCCTCAAAGTATCTCACATTGCTCTGATTTTTGGAATTCTCTGGAACCAACTTCTCATAACTGGTGACCAATTCGTCACAACTTAGAGTTATTATTTTGCATCCCATGGGTGACCATCTCATCTTTCAGAATTAGTATCTTAGTTTAGTATAGTGAAGATATGACACCACTACAGCTTGACATTAAGCTGGTCGAGGTAGTTAGTTATCGAAATCTATCAAAATTACTGTCTATATGTGTATAACTTTTTTGCAATATAAGACATCAAAAATATGGCTAGGGCAATTGAACTGGTATGACAAACATCTAGATTCGGAACTTCCAATATAGATAAATGAAAATCCGAAAAAGGAAACTATTTTTCATTTATTTCAGTAATTGATTATACTTGCAATATAAATTCTTAATTATTGTTTAGTCAGTAACAAAAAAAAACAAGACCCAAAAGTAGAACCATTACTAAATTAGTATTCACAAAACCTCCATTCAATCGGTTTGTCTATTTAACAAAAATTTTATGGATTTAAGTGATATGTGTTTTGATTAATATTAATCTAATTGATGTAATAATATATATTAAATTAATCAGTTTATTTTATTTTTAATTTCAAAATTTCTAATATTAGTATAATTTGCGATTGAATCAATTAATTTGCATTCTAAATATTTATTTTATTACAATATTAACATAAGTATTTACACTTGTATTGTGGACAGTATGTTTTGTAATAATTGTAATATATTATTTACTAAAGTACATAGACTCTTATAAATAATAATTTTACACACACATACACACATTATATGTCATCTCACCGTGAAATAAAAAAATACCATTATTTTATTTTAATTTTTCCCATGATTTTGAAATAGATGAAACATAAAATATCAATAAATCTTCATTCAGTACGTTTTAACACTAGATATGTGTAAACACCAAAAAGAAAACAATGAATTAATGGAGATTCAATAAACATAAGAAACATATTAATAAAAAATATATATTTAATAGTATTTTAATAAAATTATGATGGTGATTTCATCCTTTCTCAATACAGTTTTTTTTCATTATGAAGTGTTTAATGTTTAAATGTCGAGCAAAAAAAATCTCATTGATATATACTTATATTTATAATTATAAAGGTAAAAGATTCAATATTGAATTGAAATACTAAAATATTAACTTGATTTTTTAATGCACAAAAAATGGTAAAAAACAGTTAGTATCTACTAATTTTGTTCTTCACTATTACGATTGCATAGATTTCAACAATTTTCTTATTTGGTTAGTCTTTGTTTATATTAGTATATGGAGTTTTGCATAAGTTGTACGCAATTTATGATAAAGAGAAAGCAACTATATCATTAATGGCTTGGGCTATTAAATCAAGTATGTGGAATAACAGTATTATACACTGATATTTTGCAATCAATATTCAGAAAATTTATGTATACTTTTATGCATTTTGCATATTATTTATATTTCTATATTATTATTCAATTATAATACGTTATTTTAGCCAATTTTGAAGAACATTGTATATATGTTTTCCACCTACCGTAAATCGCCTGAACATGAAGATTCAGCGCTGAACTGTTAGATGTCTGCATGGGTTTCAAAGAAATACTTTCTCGTGTGTCTGACTATTTCACTGAGGGTTTTTCACAGAAATATTTCATATAAAAGTTTTCTCTTATAATATTTTGGTAACATGCAAAATTCATACAGTTTTCAAAAATGCAGGCATATGCCATTAGAGAAATCAACAAACTGGTCAGAACACATTGATCCTCATTTAAGTAATTGTTTGTTGTGGTGAGCAATAAGAGCAATTTACTGAAAATATTTGTTTTGGAAAAATCTGACTTATGATTTTTCAATAGAAATCTCACAGATCTCTAATAGATTATTTATAAAAATAAAAGAACCATACTATTTCTATACCCATTTGGCACCTTGGTGATTAGTTTTAGCCGAAAATTAGCAGCTCAATTTCCTGCACTTTTCAGGTTCACTTTTCACCGATATAGCTTATTTTAAAAATGATATTATTTTTAGAAATTATTTTTTTTTTGAAAATCAAGTAAAAGTTCAAAATGTTATGAAGATATGTGTTGAAAATCATTTTTATTGGTACTGTGTTGAAACTAAAAAAGAAATCATATTTGAAACTCATTTTGATGAAGCTCAATTTCAAATCTATGCACAATTATTGGTGATTTTGAGTTAGTTTACTAGATTTAAAGCAAACTCAGTAAAATTTATTTCAATGTAGTTTGAAACCTATTCTAAGGTAATTTTGTATGTAAATAACTCATTTTTCGACTTTAATTGTCTTTTTTCGAACTTTGTATATATTTGTAGCAGATATGGTACATACAACAATGATGAAAAATCAACTTTTTATCATTCTTATACAAAGTTGACCAGAAATATATTTACTTACGCATACTAGAGAAAGCACAAAACTTTAGAAATTGCATATATTTTTTATGCATGAATGCTACAATAATCAAAAAATCTCGGGAAGGTAAAACAAAAATTCCATATTTAACGGTTTATAATGATCTGATATTTAAATCCCACACTAAATTTAACCGTCCAAGGCCACCTTAGCCAGAATTTTGGGCTAATGAGCAGAAGCACCATCGCGAAAATCCGAAAAAGCTCTTCACTTATCGCTTACGAAATAAGCTGCTAAAATCAGTGGGTGAGAGCTTTTGAGTATTATATAACGTAAATGGAACAATTTTTAAGGTTTTACTCGTAATGCGTTTGTAATCCGCAGCTTTTCATGCTTCGTACTGAAGTACTTTATTTTTGCAGAATGAGAGAATCAACATCGCTCAAGGTTGTATACGCCAGATTAAATCTGGTATTTTAAATTACTTTTCACGTGTCGCTATCAGTATTGGGATATGGTACATTTTATTACAGTGAATTTTTTTAAATTAGCTGTAAATTATTTATTATTTACTTTACTAATAATAGTATCATGTGTCTCTAATATCTGCCTATAAAACAATGTCCTTAATCGGACTAAAAAATAGGACTAGTGGTGTATAGCATCGTGCCTTAAGACAAGTTGCTTTAACTTCCCGTACCCTAATAAAATATTCGAGGAATATTAAATGTTAAATTAAATGGATTATTATAATTTATTGAAGTATTATAAGTGATGTTTAGAATTTTAGCTAGAATTAGAATTCAAATTCGAATTATTTTCCGATATTATTTTTGAATAGATAATTAAAAAAAAATTAAAAAAAAAAATTACCGAAAAGCAATTGCTTCGTCAACACAAGCATTATAGCACTTTTTGGTCCATATCTTTAAAGCCGCTGGACCTGCTTTTGCCAAAAACTAATCTGCACATCTCCCTATCAATAGGAATCGACTGCTTATTGAATTTTTCAAATCGGTTTATCCATACGCCCGAAATCGTCGACGGAAAATTGTTTCCACACATACACATACGCACACACACATACACACACACATACACCCACACAGCAATTTTTTTGAGGTATGCCAAAATGTTCAGAAAGTTCTGAAACGTGAAGATATGCAAAATAAATCATTTTCGAATTTTGGTCCATTACTATTACCCTACGGAAAGCTAATAATAAATATGAATTTCTTCAGATTAATGACATATAATAAAAGAAATTAACACCAAGTGCATATTAAAAATATTTCAGTTTTACTCATATTTGTTTATATGATACATTCAGTTTGGATAAAATTGTCATTCAAATTTATAATTTAAGTTTCGCGCGCTCGTTGTGAACTGTCAACAACGAGCGTTATGGCTGATAGGTTGGTAGCATATACTACGCGCCACCTTCAGCTTTGTATATGCCGATGTGCAACTTGTATAATAAATGTCTAACTCTCTTCTTCAAGAACTTTCGAAGCATAAACATCTAAATAAATATACCTTAAAAATATACATCCAGCATTTCTTTATTCCATAAATGGTCCATCGTAACGGATAAGTACTAGTGCAAAGAATAGTTTTGCAATTATTGAACGCTGAGAGGTATTTAAAGCCTGTAAAAACAGTGCGGTGTTTTATTTTGGTTATAATTGTTTATGCATGCGGCACATGAATGGTTCTGTGTCGTTCAATAATCAAAGAGAAGAAGGAGCATCTTAATCACTTGGGGCTAGCTTTCGGACGCTGTAATCTACAATTTTCGAAGATTTGGATGAGCCTAATTTGAGGTTAGGATACACGTCGCTACCCAAGGATTGTTCTATTTGCCGGTTCCATGTCCACGTGAAACTCAGCACCCCCCAAGCAGTTTTTTGGCCTTGTTGGTGAGGATATTGCTGTTTAACTTCGACTATCACGTGGAGAGGAGAAGCAAATTGGTCGTGTATAACCTATACACGAGTCGTGAGTGTTACTTTGACATCTATAAGTGTACATATGTACAAAGAACATTTTATTAACAATAAGTGTTTATAATTCAAAATTTATTTGTTTTCTTGTTACATATAGTTATTTTAGTTATTTGTTGTTACTTATAGAATTGTTTAATTGTACCTCATTGTTATAGAGTACCTTATTTCAAAAGTCTCTTTATATTTGCCTTGATTAGTTGGTTACTTGATATTTGCAATCATAATGGCAGACTTAGCTTCATTAGAGAGTACGCATAGGATGATTAAAGCATCATTTGACGCAATTCATAAATATATCAGTAGCTTTAGTGAGGGCGGTAACATTAAAACGTTATCAGTACGTAAACAAAAATTAGTCGAGAGAAGTCACGATTGGGACGAAAATTATGTACAGTTGGAAGCAATCAGTCCAGGTACGCATACTGCTGAATACCTTAAGTACTCAGAGCTTTATTTTGATATGATGTCGGAAATAGAAACAATAATTGACCGACATCAGAAACCTATTGCGAAAGGTGCTCACGCTTCAATAGATGTGAAATTGCCCGATATCATATTACCTAAATTCAATGGGGAATATAATGAATGGACAGCCTTTATAGATATTTTCAATAGTTTAATTCATAATAATTCTAAATTAGCACCTGTACAAAAATTGCACTATTTAAGAGGTGCACTCACAAATTCAGCTTCCAACTTAATCTCCACAATCAGTATTTCTAATGAGAACTATGATATAGCTTATGACCTCATAGTTAAAACATATAACAATAAATTTTTGATTATTAATTCGCACTTGCAGAGTATAGAGAATATTCCAGCTATTAATAAAGGAAGTTTTGAAAATCTGAGGGCCCTTTTAAATAGTGCAAGACAACAGATACAGTCATTAAAGGTCCTATATGAACCTGCCGAGCATTGGGATGTAATTTTGCTGTTCATGCTGAGTAGGAAACTTGATACTGGTACGAAGGTTGCCTGGAATCTGTCTAGAACGTCAGGGCAGTTACCATCCTTAGTGGAATTTTTTACTTTTTTGGAACTTCGGGTAACTGCTTTGGAACATTCGTGTAGTTCAGACAGCAAACCAGCGTCAACAAAGAGTGTTCATACCATTGTCAAGAGGCCTACACAGTCATGTATTCTTTGTAAAGGGGAGGATCATGCCTTATATAAGTGTTCCAATTTTAAATCATTAGATACAGAAGCTAGAAAGAGCTTCATTAGTAAACATGGGATATGTATTCGTTGTTTGGCATCTCGACATAGTGTGGCTAAGTGCAGATTCAAATACACCTGTGGAAAATGCAAAGCCTCTCACAATACCTTGCTACATGAGGATCCTGAGCCTGTGCCCAGCACTTCTCAAAGTAGCACGGTTTGTATGGCTAGCAACACAGGCGTACAAACCTTGTTATCAACTGTTTCGCTTATTGTCATTGACGCGGAGGGAGCACAACATACGGTGAGAGCACTTTTAGACAGTGGGTCTCAGATAAATCTAATAACTAATTCTCTTTTGGCGAAATTGAAATGTCCCATTAACTCAGAGGTACATAGACTGAGCGTTTTGCAAGGTCAAAGCTTTTTGTGCAATAAGGCAGTAAAGTTGACTGTCAAATCTAGGCTAGGTGCGTTCTCTAGAAACATTAATTGTGTAGTTGTGGATAGAATTACGCATTCATTGCCATCTGTATTTATAGATTATGAAGGCTGGAAGATTCCTGACAATGTCTCGTTGGCAGATCCGTCTTTTAATGTGCCTGGCAGCGTGGATATGCTGATAGGAGTAGAATTATATTTTGATGTTTTGCAGCAAGGATGTATTAGGCTAGGGAATCATCTTCCTATTTTAAGGAAAAGCTCTTTCGGATGGTTGATTTCTGGTGTCTTTAAGGCAGAACTTCAAGGTAATGTACACGTTGGTCTTATTTCTAATGAGGATCTTCACAATAGTTTGACGAAGTTTTGGCAGTTGGAAGAAATTTCTTCAGACAATGCCATGACGGGTTCAGATAAGCTATGTGAAGATCATTTTATGGCCAATGTTGCACGCCTTGAAAATGGCCAATTTGAGGTAGCCTTGCCATTTGTGGAAGACCAGGTCGAAAGGCTTGGATCATCATTTGTTACTGCAAAACATAGATTCTTGAATTTAGAGAGGCGGTTTGCTAGGGATGTCAGCTTGTTTGAAGCATACTCCAAATTTGTAAGAGAGTATATTGATTTAGGTCATGCTGAACAAATTGTGTTAACTCCGGAGGAAGCTGTCAGGAATGATTATTATTTTTTGCCTCACCATCCAGTGGTAAAAGATGGAAATTTCAGTAAGATACGAGTTGTGTTTGATGCTTCAGCAAAGTCATCTTCAGGTATCTCGCTGAATAATATCTTACACACTGGACCAAAATTACAACAAGACCTTTTTTCCATTTTAGTTAGGTTTCGGTGCCAGCAGTTTGTTTTTGTGGCGGACATTGTCAAAATGTACCGTCAGATTAAGGTTCGAAACGAGGATCAAAGGTATCAGTTAATAATATGGAGAGATAATCCCCAAGAGATTTTGAAATTTTTTAGGCTCACAACTGTGACATATGGCACGGCATGCGCTCCTTACTTGGCTATGCGGTGTTTGAAGATGCTTGCTCAAAGCAATTTGACAACATATTCAAGGGCTGCACAAGTTTTAGATAGGGATTGTTATGTCGATGACATTATCACAGGAGCGAACACTTCGGACGATCTTGTTAGGATACAAGGGGAGATTGTCAGGTTATTAGGTGAAGGTGGTTTCTCGTTGCACAAGTGGTCGAGCAATTGCAGAGAGGTGCTGCAAGCAATTCCTGAAAAGAATAGAAGCTCAGCTGTAGCCTTGTTTTCAGAAGGAGATACAGTCAAAACCCTTGGCCTCGCATGGAATCCTTCACAGGATTGTTTTAAGATCTCACAAATTAAGGTTTCGGTTGCGGAGGCCCAGCAGGTTGTTGATACCAAGCGGTCTGTGCTATCAACTATAGCACAGATCTATGATCCAATTGGGCTCGTATCTCCTGTTACTGTTACAGCTAAGTTAGTTATGCAGGAGTTGTGGAGGCATAATCTGGATTGGGATGAAGCATTGTCGCGAGAACTGCAAGTTAGGTGGGATTTATTTAAAAATCATTTGTCGGATCTTGATAACCTGACTATTCCGCGTTGTGTGTTCCATTCGGTTCCTGTGGATATACAATGCCATGGGTTTTCAGATGCATCGTTGCTTGCATATGGGGCGTGTATATATCTTCGAGCAACATATGCAGATGGAACGGTGTCATCTCATTTACTGTGCTCTAAATCAAAAGTAGCACCATTGAAAAATGTCACACTGCCAAGGTTGGAGTTATCTGCGGCTTTGTTATTAGCAAAGCTTTATAAGCAGATAACAACAATATCGGACATTAAAATCTCTGAGACCTTCTTGTGGTGTGACTCAACTATTGTTCTTGCCTGGTTGAAGACGGATCCTTCCCTATTGAAAATGTTCGTGAGCAATAGGGTTGCGGAAATTTTAGATCACACGCCAGGCACAGTGTGGAGACATGTCTGCAGCAAAGATAATGCGGCCGATATAGTATCCAGAGGTGTGAAAACACCGTCAGAATTAATTGGGTATAATCTCTGGTGGCATGGGCCAGCTTGGTTGTTGCAGGATCCCACTAATTGGCCTCAGAGGTTTGTTGAGACTGGCACAGAAGCAATTCCAGAGCGACGAGTATTAACAGCAACGACTGTTACTGCTTATAATGAGCATTTGAAGTTAGTGTTAGAAAAATGTTCTACCTTCAATAAAGCAGTAAGAGTGGTTGCTTATTGGATTCGGTGGCCAGAAATGTGTCGTCCAGATAGGGGCTCCAGGCGTTTAGGGTCATTGTTAGTTGACGAGATAGAGAGGGCCTCTAGGCGCATTGTTTATTTAGCACAAAGAGAGGTTTTTGGCAATTTGGCTGATCAGTTAAGTTCTGGTAACCAACTTGACACCAACTTCAGCAAGCTGAAGTCATTAAATCCTTTTGTGGATGCCGAAGGCTTGCTTAGAGTAGGTGGAAGGTTGGAAAACGCAGACGTAAGTTACGACCAGAAACATCCCATTATATTGCCGAAAAACCATTTAGTGACTGACCTTCTAACTCGCTCGGAACATGAGAGGTTATTGCATGCTGGCACACAAACAACATTGGCAAACATAAGACTTAGGTATTGGCCTATTGACGGACGAAACACAGTAAAACGAATTATTCATAAGTGTGTGAAATGCGCTAGATTCAGAGCAGCCAGTACTGAACAATTAATGGGAAGCTTGCCTAAGGATAGGGTCACTGCCTATCGACCTTTTCAGGTGGTAGGGGTTGATTTTGCAGGTCCAATTGAATTAAGATCCAGTAGATTAAGAAAGGCTCCGCGCATTAAGGCATATATTTGTTTGTTCGTCTGTATGGCCACTAAGGCAATTCATATTGAATTAGTGACAAGTCTTTCTACAGAAGCCTTCATGTCAGCTTTGCGACGCTTTATTGCACGGCGCGGTTGTTGCTCCGTGATCCATAGTGACAATGGGAGAAACTTTGTTGGTGCCAAAAATGAGTTACGGCAATTAGCCACATTATTTCAATCTGAGATGTCCAAACAAGAAATCATTTCGTCGTCTGCTCGGTTGGGGATAACGTGGCAATTCATACCCTCTCATGCACCCCACTTTGGAGGTTTATGGGAGGGATCTATAAAAGTGATGAAGCATCACATTCGTAGGGTTATCGGGTCGCACTGTCTCACGTTCGAAGAGTACATGACAGTATTGTTACAGATCGAAGCTGTACTTAATTCGAGACCACTTCTTACCCTCACAGATGATAGCTCTGATATATCTTATATTAGCCCCGGTCACTTTTTAATTGGTAACGCCCTAACATCTTTTCCAGAACCATATAACGATATTGCAAATGTCAAGGCAACTAAATTATTCAAACAAATAGCAGAGATGAAAGATAAGTTCTGGTCTTTATGGTCGAAACAGTATTTGTCAGACCTTCAAAAAAGACAAAAGTGGTCAAAAGAACGGCCAAATATTGAATTAGATACAATAGTTCTATTGAAAGAGGACAATGCGCCTCCATTACATTGGCCTATTGGCCGTATAATAGGTACAAGTCCTGGACTTGATGGCAAGGTTAGAGTAGTTCAAGTTAAGACTAGTAGTGGTGTTTATACCCGCTCAATTACTAAAATCGTCCCTCTACCTTGTCATTAGCCTATACATTTTATCTGTTATGTTTTAGTATTTCTTATCAACATTTATTATTAAAGTTATCCAATTATTGTTAAAATATAATAAATAATTAAAATATGTTATCAATTTTATATAAATGTTTTACCTAGAAATAATATTAAGTTAGGAATATGTTATTGTTATAGACTGAGACACAACTATTTGTATTAAGATCAACTAATCATCATGCATTTATTATATCATTATACAGTCCACTATTCATATTCAAGTTTTGTTTTGTTAGCATTAAGATGATTGTTTTTAATTAGTTTAGATATAAGATCTTAAGAAATAATCTTTTGTAAATATTTATCATTGTTGTATTTTGTTTTATATTTTGTGATGCTTTCGCATCGCGCGGGAGCATGGATAAAATTGTCATTCAAATTTATAATTTAAGTTTCGCGCGCTCGTTGTGAACTGTCAACAACGAGCGTTATGGCTGATAGGTTGGTAGCATATACTACGCGCCACCTTCAGCTTTGTATATGCCGATGTGCAACTTGTATAATAAATGTCTAACTCTCTTCTTCAAGAACTTTCGAAGCATAAACATCTAAATAAATATACCTTAAAAATATACATCCAGCATTTCTTTATTCCACAGTTTGTTCCAAAAATAACAATCGCGTCCCACACAAAGTATGAAATATTTGATCTGACCTATATACCTGTGAATTCCTTTATCATCGAAAACCACACAATATAGATATATATTATATAGCCAGTTTATCGTATCGATGTTATTGCATATATTTCGCTATTATTGACAACCAGGAGATAACAGTGCCCATATAAATATAATGGAATATTCTGTGCCAAACATCTATCGGATTGAAGGAAAGCAAGGGCTTGCGATTTCCCACAAAAATAAACTGAAAATATAGGGCATTAGAGATTTTCTCTAATCGAAAACGCAATATGAGGTTGTACGCTTCGATTTTGAAGTTTAATTGGAAACTTGATACAAAATGATTATATACTTTATTTTATATCCTATTTTCATTGTATGTACAAAATTATCTATTATCTATTCGATCAACTACACATCCAGCGCAGCACCAACAACTTCCCTTTTCAACAAGTTTTCATAGAGCTTTTTATGACGCTTTTTATTTATTTTTTTAAACTGGCAACAAATGCATATTACAAATTCTTGCAAATCTTTTGCAAGTAATACGCAGAATTCTATACAGTTTTACATAAGCAGTAAAAAAAAAGCAGTGAAAAACTCTTATACGTATTTTTTTAAAATCATTTTTTGTCGATTAAAAATCTGCTTTAATCTTAAAATTGTTTACACGGGGTGTAGGGTAAATATGTCTCTTAACAGAAAAAATGTAATTTCAGATGAAAAACAAAGAATTTTTGGAATTTCGACACACAGTTAACAATACATTGAAAATCACATAATTTTCTTGTTGGTTTTGTTTTTGTAAACCCTGCAAGATTTTATGTGTTGTTTAATTACCTTAGAACAATGAAGAGTTTAATTTATTATTTTATGACAACGGGAAATATATCTATTTTGGATAACAGTTGTTTGACCAATATATATTTAGAAGATAATAATGGATCTAATAATAACACAAGCATAAATTACCAAAAGGCAATAAGCTGTGCGTATTGTCAACACGAATCGAATATTTTTTGAGCCGTCCAAAAATATTCATTCACTCTCTCAAGAATGTGTGGAATCAAATATTCGTAAATAAATATACCTACTTACATAAATGTCACACAAGCACTCACATTCGCCCCAGCAAATCTTCTTTTCCCCATATTGTTAGATTTAATATAAAATATCTTGAAAAAAATCACACATTTATTTGATAAAAGGGTGACAATTTTTATATTTTTTAAAGCAAATTAATTTTATCTAAGGCGTCTTGCACTTTATGAAGTATGTGACAAAAATTTTAAATCGGTTCATTTAACAGTTTTCAAGATATGCGAAATTGATTGGAGGCTGGCTCCGCGCTCAATACAAATATTTAAACAGATACTATCTAGTTTTAGGTTGAGAACACGCTTGGCCTAATGAATATTTAAACAGATGCACCATGGTATCTTCTCAAAAACGGAGTTTGAGAATTTGATGAAACTTGGCACACATTGTAAATATACTTCAACAAGATTGTAATAAAAATTATAAATCGATACATGCAACAGTTTTTAAGATATGCGATATTGATGGGTGGCTAGCTCTGCGCTTGATACTAATATTTAAACAGATAGTATCTTCTCAAAAGCGGAGTTTTCGAATTTGATAAGACTTGTGTCAAAACCTACATATGTCAACTTTTTAGTACCAATATATAAGTATTTACAAACTTACAGCTGAGTATCTTGAATTCCGAGATTCTTACCTAATTTAAGAATAAATGGCTGGACTGTGTACTTTCAGCTTCATCAGAAAATGCTTTGGTTGGATTTGCGAGTCTTAAATTTCAATTTTTATTAAATGATAAATGACAAGCATTATATTAAAAATGCACTATACAACAAGTGATAATTTCATTCATTTTTAGAGTATAGATCACTTTCGATTAATAACTTGCATTAATTAGCTAATTAGATATTCTACGATACGTGCTATATTTTATATATTTTTTACCTAGTATAGAAGTTTTCATATTTTCAGCAAAATAGTGGTTTCGTGTTCTGATGAAAATCTTGTTATTGCACTAGGTTCTCGGATTACAATCATTGTACCAGAACGAGCCGATAAATTCGCCTAAAAGCACATCTTTGTGGGTAACAAGGCGTATGATGGACAGTCCTTGGAAAACATATTATATATATATATATATATATATATATATATATATATATATATATAAACAGGATAAAATATCCTATCTGACAAACTCTGATAGGCACCTAAAGTCATCATATACTCAAAAAGGACTATGATAACAACATTTGCTCTAGTCTTTTATATTTCAGTAAGTTTATTAATAAATGTAACATATATATGTATATATATATATATTATATATATATATATATATATATATATATATATTTGTGACAATCTTTTACAAAGTTAATTATTTCTTGTTAATTCAACATTTCCAATTAAACGATTTTGCATTCTGAATAAATCAAAGAGAAGCATCCTAAGCAAATTAAAATCGATTAATATTTTACGCGAGGGTAAATATATGAATAAATTTGAAAAGTAATGCTTGATGGTTGCAAAATAATACATAAAATTTTTTTAAAAATTAGTCAATAATTGTTTCATAATTTCTAAAGTGCAGGCGACTTTACATAAAGTAAATGCTCTCATAAAAAAGTAGTCTCATTTATGAACTAAACTATACGTTTATGTTTTAGTTCAAATAACTTATATGTAACTATTTTTTTATTTATTTTTTTGAAATTTTAGGTTTTTGTATATATTGATATTTATAACTTTTTTTACAAAAATGTTTCCAGGTAAAATTTCTGGATTATAATTATTATATACAATAGTGTTATCCATTTTTTTCAAGTTCCAAATATTGTATAAATCCGGATAATCAAAATTTAAAAGATCAAAAACAATTAACAAATATCAAAAAATGATTGTTTTTGTCATTTTTAATTAAAGTTTAAATTTAAAATCAAAATTAAAGATGTGAAATTTTAATTTAATTTGTTTATCAATTTCATCTACCTATTATTTATTTGTGAAGCGGTTTATTTGTTTTATCACTTTGGATAAACAATCAACAATTTCCCTGAAGACACAATAACTTTCCTTGCTAGTTATAGTATTTATTTAATAAAGTTTTAATTCCAATATTGATATTAAAATTACTTCAGTGTAAAAGGGGCACGTGTTTGTTGCACCCTTGTTTACTACGAAAATGCAAAAGGCGTAATTCTCGTAAAATCTTAGGAACTTTATAGGATTCCCATCGCATTTCCTTGAATATGAAAAGTAGGAAGTGTTTTCTATTTACTCGAGTCAATGTTCTTACTTCATAATACGACATTGAAAATAATGAAAAATATTCTGTAAAGAGTTGGGAGTAATAGAAATAACTTCAATAACAATTTTTTATGCAATTTTGATTTTTATTCAAATTCTGGAATGTTTAGCATGTGATTATTTATGTAGTAAGAAATTGCTAGAAATTACCAATTATTTATATAAGTTTCAAATGCATGAGAATAATAACTAGTGGGACGCATGGCATCGTGCCTTAAGGCAAATTGCTGGAACTTCCCGTACCAAAAATTATTATTTTGTAAAAAGATTAACATTTTTGAAAAAAAAATTTGACAAAAATTTACTTTTTTTGAAAAAAAAGACTTTTTTAAGAAAAATTTATTTGGAAAATCTGAACTTTTTTTCAAAGCGATCGTACTGCTTTAACTGCATAGAGACGATATATCGAAGCGCGTAAGCGCCGCGTCGCCGTCTAACGGATAAACATTGGTATGGAACCCATAGGAATGTAAACAAAATTTATACTTATTGTTAAAATCTCTATAAAATGTCTGATAAGTTGATGTGCATATGTCTAATAATTATTTTTGACCGCCAAATGGTATTTTTTTTACTTTTTTTACTAGATCTCAGAAACCGCATTTTTTTATGTATAGTGTTAATGTAATATTCTTGAAATAAATATTGAATTGGTCTTAGAAACGTAAATCATTTATGAACAATCTCTCTAACAGCTGGTTTATAATGGTATATTAGGAAAGAGTATTTTCAAAAAATTTTGATTCAAATATTTGTAAATTATTATTCTTATATACATTGATAGATAATCATGGTAATAAATTCAGTTAGATTAGTAATGGTTATTTTGTTAACTTAAAACTATTTTTTGACCCTATTATACAGGTTACTTGGCTTTAAAATAGAAATCGATATGAGCATCAACAAGATAGATAAATTATGAGAAAAGTATTGCAGCAAATTAGCTAAAGAAATAATTTAGCGCGAAAATTAAAATTTTGAAATTTTTAATAATAGTTTG